CTAAAGCCAGTGAGGATGAAATAGAAGAATTCTACCAACTTCTTCAATCTGAAATTGATCAAACATGCAATCAAGATGTATTGATCATTACTGGTTATTGGAATGCAAAGGTTGGGAACAAAGAGGAAGGCTCAGTGTTTAGAAAATATGGCCTTGGTGATAGAAATGATGCTGGAGAACACATGATAAAATTCTGTAATATCAATGACTTGTTCATTTCAACTACCTTCTTTACACAGCATAAGAGATTATTATACACATGGACCTCACCAGATGAAATACATAGAAATCAAATTGACTACATCTGTGGAAAGAGACAATGGAAAAAACTCCGTATCATCAGTCAAAACAAAGCCAGGGGCAGATTGTGGAACAGACCATAAATGCTCATATGCAAATTCAAACTGAAGCTGAAGAAAATGAAAACAAGTCCACGAGAATATATACCTTGAATATATACCACCTGAATTTAGAGATCATCTGAAGAACAGATTTGATACATTAGACATTAAAGATCGAAGACCAGAAGACTTGTGGGATGACATCAAGAACATTATGCAGGAAGAAAGCAAAAAAGTCATTAAGAAGACAAGAAAGGAGGAAAAGATCAAAATGGATGTCAGAAGAGACACCGTAACTTGCTCTCCAGCGTAAAGATGCTAAAACAAATGGAAGAAATGAGGAGATATAAGAGCTGATAAGAAAATTTATAGGTCAGCTTGAGAGGACAAACTCAAATGGTTTATGTTCAACCATTTCAAGAGGTAGCATATGATCAAGAGTCAATGATAATGAAGGAAGAAATCCAAGGTGCATTGAAGGAATTGGCAAAGAACAAGGCACCAGGGATTGATGGAATAAAAATTGAAATCTTTCAAGAAAGTGAGGTGGCACTAGAGGCACTCACCAAGAAATTTGGCCAACTGCTTGGAAAAGATCTGTATTTGTGCCCATTCCAAAGAGAGGTGACCCAATGGAATACAGAAATCATTGGACAATCTCTTTGATATCCCATGTGAGTAAAGTTTTACTCAAGGTAATACAGAAACGGCTACTATCATACATTGACAGAGAACTTCCAGAAGTTCAAGCAAGATTCAGAAGAGGGCGTGTAACGAGGGATATCATTGCTGGTGTCCGATGGATCTTGGCTGAAAACAGAGGATATCAGAAAGATATTTATTTACCTGTGCTTTATTAACTATGCAAAGGCTTTCGATTGTGTGGATCATGACAAGCTATGGACAACATTGCAAAGTATGAGTATTCCTGAACACTTAATTGTGCTCATGAGGACTCTGTACGTGGACCAAGAGGCAGTTGTTCAAACAGAGCATGGGAACACTGAATGGTTTAAAATTAAGAAAGGTGTGTGACAGGATTGTATTCTTTCACCATACTTATTCAACCTGTATGCTGAGTAAATAATCCGAGAAGCTGTGTTCTATGAAGAAAAACAAGGCACCAGGATTGAAGGAAGACTCATTAATAACCTGTGATAAGCAGATGATACAACCTTGCTTGCTGAAAGTGAAGAGGACTTAAAATACTTACTGATGAAGATCAAAGTCCACAGCCTTTGGTGTGGATTACATCTCAATGTAAAGAAAATAAAAATCCTCACCACTGGACCAATAAACAACGTTCTTATCAATGAAGAAAAGATTGAAGTTGTCAAGGACTTCATTCTTCTTGAATCAACTATCAACACTCATGGAAGCAGCAGTAAAGAAATCAAATGACGTATTGCATTAGGCAAATCTGCTGCACAAGACCTTTTTAAAGTGTTGAAGAGCAAAGATGTCAGCTTAAGGATTAAGGTGCACCAGATCCAAGTCATGGTATTTTCAATAACCTCATATGCATGCGAAAGCTGTACAGTGAATAAGGAACATCTTAGAAGAATTGATGCTTTTGAGCTATGGTGCTGGAAGAGAATATTGAAAGTGCCATCGGCTACCAAAAGAACCAACAGATCTGCATAGGAAGAAGTGCAGCCAGAGTGCTCCTTGGAGGCCAGGATGGCCAAACTTGGTCTCTCATACTTTGGACACATTGTCAGGAGGGAAAAGTTGCTGGAGAAGCATATCATGTTTGGTAAGGTGGAGGGTCAGAGAAAATGAGGAAGAGCCCCAGTGAGATGGATTGGCCAAGTGGCAGCATCAATGGGCTCAAGCGTGGCAACAATTGTGAGGTTGGCCCAGGACTAGGCAGTGTTTTGTTCTGTTGTGCATAGGGTCACTATTATTTCTGTACTGACCCAATAGCACCTAACAACAACAACAAAAACATCTGCTACTAGTACTACTGGGACCACTGTGGCTCCATATGATAAGCACTGGGCTGCAAACCATAAGGATCGTGATTCGAGCCCCCAGCTGCTCAGTGGAAGACAGATGAGTCTTTCTGTTCCCATGAAGATTTAAAGCCTCGGTAACCATATACAGTGTTGCTATGATTCTTAACTGACTCGAAGACACTTTAGAACAATGATACCGAATATTTAGATTTATTTTTCATTTTTTAAATTACAATTTTCCTATAATTCCCAGTTCCACCTCCACACACTCACCGTATCTGTCAATCTACCAAACTCCTCTGGGTAAACTCAGCCCGCCCTCTGTGACTTAGAAAAACTTTAGCACGTCTAAACAAATGCAATGCCTGGGTCTGTTTGCCAAATTCCACATCTCTCATCTCCTGGGTGACCTCACTCCAGCAGTAACCCCCGCACCTCACTCCCCACCACTTTGCCCATGTCCTGGATCATTTCCACCAGCATACAGCAGAGTCTGCAAAAAGATGAGACTTTCTGCTCCAGCAAGGATTTACAGTCTCAGAAACCCTATGCAGGTCACTATGAGTTGGAACCAGAACCCACTCAATGGCACGTACCATTTTATCGCCAATCACCTTCAGACTTCCCTTGATTCTGTAGCTATGTCCAGCCATCACCGCATTTCCCTGGTCCTCTTTACAAATGACTTCTCAAAACAGCTGCCTATATACTACTTCGGGGAGGTATTGAAGTCCAGAAAGATTAAGTAATTTACCTAAACAGTGATCTATGTGAGCACAAAAGCATTCACAACAGAGGCAGGTCATAAATTTTGATCTGTGATGACCCTAAATGACCATTCTTTTTACAAAATGTATGAGTAATAATAATAGAAAAACCTCTTATCTTGAAATACAAGCCATTTGCAAACTCTGGCATTTGAAGAGCAATTTATAGGCTACAGGTTTTCATGAGATTCTTATAACTTCCTTACAAGTTGTCACATCTCCGTGCCTGGCAATAAGAGCACCTCAGAGCAACTTTGAGTGTAGACCCTGGAGCAAGGTCGTCAAGGTGTGAATCCTGCATCTACTAGCTGGTGTCTGACTGACTCGGGACAAGTCACTTAATCCCTTTCTGCTCTAATTGTCTCACTGGTAAAATGAGCACAGCTCCTTGGATGGTGGATAGGTTTAAATGAGTTCATATAGAATGCTTGGAACCTGTGATTGATATGTAATCAGTTGTAGGGTGGTTGTTAGCGGCCATCAAGTCAGTCCCCGACTCCTGCATGTGAAAAGCTGATGATTGTGATAGCCAGGCTTTTCTTCCTTGTCCATTTTCAGTCTGAAAGTTCTGCTGAAGCCTGGTCAGTATTATAGCAGCACACAAGCCTCAACTGACATATGAATGGTGGCTGTGAGAGGTGACTGGCCAGGAACTGAATCCAGAACTTCCACACGCAAGGAGGGAATTATACCACTGACTTTATTAAGTGCCCACTGGGGGCAAGCAGAACACTAGTTCTATAAATAGAAATGGAGTCCCTAGGTTGTACAAACAGTTAACACTCACTGCTAATTGGAAGGTCAAGTTCACCCAAATGTTCCTCAGGAGAAAAGGGCTGGTGATCTAATACTGAAAAAATCATCCATTGGAAATCCTATGGAACACAGTTCTACTCTAACACACATGAGGTCATCATGACTCAAAACGCATTCCACAGCAAATGGGTACATTTGTTGGTATAAACTCAATACAAACGCTGGGCTCAATCACTGAGCAATAGGGCCGCTGTAAGTTGGAGTGCACTTGATGATAGTGAGTTCGTTTTGTGTTTTTTGACTGACCCTTGTTTTAGCTCAAAACTCAGATCATATATGATGTCAAACTATCAATACTTGAAACAAAACAACTGAGCAAAATTATCAAAATGCATTTTGTCCTACATCCTGTGAGATCATTATTAAAAAACAAAACAACACAAAAAAACCCTGCAGAAATTATACAGTTTCTGATTTTATTAAACTTACCTTCCACAATGTTCCCAGCTTCAATATAAGGAGTAAGGAATAATGGCTTTCCTAGATGTCCCTGTTTTGGTGTGGAAACGTGGCTATTTTGGTATAAGGAACGAAACAGCCCATCACTGGAGTTGAGCACAGAAGACAAAGCCAGGAAAACAGTGACCTTCCACACGAAGTCAGCCATTCCCTCTAGTTCTAGGATAAAAACATAAAGATTCCAGCGGTAAATGAAAAGAATAAACATTTATCTAGCTCTTTTGCACCCAAGACATCTGTCAGTTCATGCAAAACTATCTGTATTGTGTGTAAAGCTCTTTGCTAACCATGGTGGATACCACAAAGACTCAGACAGACCCAGTCCCTATTCACCTGAGCTAATATCTAGTTGAGAACTCTTTAAGGGACTTAGCAATGTAACTGGAGAAACTACTTATCTATATTTTTTAATGGAGTTCTGGTGTGGTGCTGTAGGGTAGATACTGGACTGCTAACCACAAGGTCGGCAGTTCAAACCTACCAGCTGCTCCTTGGAAACCCTTTATAAAGAGGATTTTATAATTGGCCACGAAATGAGCTGTTGTTGTTCTATGTGCCATTGAGCCAGTTCGTCTTGTAGCAAATGAGTACAGGGTTTCCAAGGAGTGACTGGTAGTTTTGAACAGCCAACCTTGTGGTTAGTAGTCCAATGCCTACAGAGACAGTTATTCCCCATTAAAAGAGCACATTCAGGCAGCCAAGGTGAGATGTGAATAAAGATTGGGAGGAACTCACATGGAGTCCCTGGCTGGTAGAAATGGTTAATGAGCTTAGTACTAACCAAAAGGTTCGAGGCTCGAACCTACCCCTAAGTGCCTTGAAAGAAAAGCCTGATAATGTATGGCAGGTTAAAAAAAGAAAAAGAAAAAAAGCAGCCACTGAAAGTTCTATGAAGCAGAGGTCTACACTGGCACACACAGGGTTACCATGAGTCAGAACAGGCAGGGCAACTGGAGGTGGTGGTAGAACTCAGCTGGTGGGAGAGATGGAGGAAACATCTGATGTACACAGACTTGAGCAAAGACGAGACCTCAGTTGCTCATGGACACTTTGTAGTAAAACTTAAAATGAACAATGAATTTCAGATCAATCTTTCCATCCAAGAACAGAAAAGAAAGATGAAGGAAGATAAGGAAGCTTCTACAACTCTCTTTCCATCACCATTTCTACTGCTACTTGTTAAACTCAAAAGTAGTCAGACTTAATTGTTGTGAACAGGAAAAAGTAAAATCATTCAGTGCCCTCTCTGCCCTGGAGACAAGCTAAAATGTTAATCAGGTTACTGAGAGGGACCAATCCTCTCTGCCCAGGAGTCAAACTAGAATGTTAATCAGGTTACTGAGTGGAACCAATCCTCTGGTTCCCTCCTGTCTTCAAACAGGTCCGCAGCCTAACACACACACACACACACACACACCCCACCCACCCCCACCCCCGATTCTGACCCCATATAAGTCTGCACTGCTCTGTATTCAGTGCTTGGAATCTTGAGAAATTAGCTTCTCTGAGCCAGCCGGTTTAATAAAATCTGAAACTCTGCTTCACCTCTCAGAGTGGCCTCAGTTTCTTTGACAACGGATCAAGAGCTGACACTCTCAAATCTAAAACCGCTGTAACAGTTGTAGTGTGCCAAGGAAGCGGTTTTGACTCATAGCAACCCTGTTAAGGGTTTCTATGACTGTACATTTTTATGTGAGCAGAAAGCTGCTTCTTTCTCCTGGCCAAACTTTATCAGCAAAAAACATTTCCTGAATCTTCAAATCTGATGTTTACTTGGAGTCATCATCTAGGCTAATAATAATAATGATTTAAAATTGTAGTGATTTACCTAAGATTATAAGTAAACATGTCCTTTGGGTTTACAATGGGCTTTCCCTAAGCCTCATAATAACCAGGAAAATGAGGATCATTGTTGCAAGTTTCGACAAGAAGCAATTTCTAAAGGAGTGTCTCATCCAAGGACACACTAATGGAGCCATCAGGACTGGAACCCAGCCAGGTCTGGGACTGGGAGAAGCCCGTGAGGTGATGATGCAAGGTCAATCGGAGCTTGTCTTTCTCTAAAATTTTGGCAGTTTTTTTCATTGAAGGTTTTTTGCATTGCTTTTGATTTTTTTAAAATATGGCACCAAAATGCTATTTATGTATTTATATTGTTTCTATGGAGTCCTGGTGTGGCACTGTAGGATATAGCAATGGAATGCAAGGTTGGTTTGAACCACAAGGTCGGCAATTCAATTCAACAGCCACTCCTCAGAAACCCCATACAGGGTTACTGTGAATCAGAACTGATGACTGAAGGCATTTAACAGCAACAGCAGTGCTCTATTTTGACTACTGTTTTTGGTGTTGTTAAGTGTTATTGAGTCAATTCTGATTCATAGGGCCTGTATGGGGCTTCCAAAGGCTGCTCGTGGGTTTGAACCTCCAACCTTGTAGATAGCAGTTCAGTGCTGATCCTACAGTGCCACACCCTCCCTTAAATTGTATGCCTGAGGTGAGTATCTCACTTGCCTCAACTTAACTATCCAAGCTCTTAGCTCTAAATTCTAAATAAAATACATGAAATGAAGAAATACTCCCCTCACTCCGATTTCCAAACAAGTAAAAGAAATACGCAATTAAACAACTAGAACACCTGCTTCTAGTGGTTGAGTGTTTCAAATGCCAAGACATTAAAACATCTTAGAAATACAAAATGTATAAAAATCTATTAACCACATACTTTCTACAACCCTTTTTGGCATAATATGAAAATATTAGTTGTAGAAAATGTCAGAAGCTTTTCGGCTACATTTCCCAAGTAAGAAAAAAGTTTATCATGTGAATTTAATTGAGTATATAACCATTGTCATCTCTCATGGTTGACTTAATATAATTCCCCAAACTTAATATAAACAAACCCAACCACACACAGAATACAGCTTCTTTAAAAATAAATAAATAAATAAAGCTTTAAAACACACAAAAGCTTTTTTCCCATTATTGACTATAATGGTGGCTGTGTGCTGCAGAGTCGGTTCCGACTCAGCGACCCAGTACTATAAATAAGGAGCCAAATAAATCTAGAAACTAGGAAGCTCACGGGTAATGGCTGTTATGAAGCTGTTAAAATACTGATGTTTTAACAGCACAAGTACGTTCAAGGAAAGATTGAAATTAACAATCCTACTGCGTAGTGGTTACAAATCGGGCTGCTAATCTCATGGTTAGCAGTTCAAAACTACCAGCTGTTCCGCGGGAGAAAGATGAGGCTTTCTGCTCCCGTAAAGATTTACAGCTCGGAAACACTGTACAGGGTCGTTATGAGTCGGAACCGACTCTACGGTACTTAACAACAACAACACTCTCTAACTGGTCAGGGAGGGGGAAAAAACTGCAGTATTAAAAAAATAATGGCAGAAACTCTTCCAATTAGAGTATTTTTCTGGAGGCAGAAATAAGAAAGTAATCATGCCATCTAATTTCTCAGCCTTCCTGCTTGCAGCCCCCTTTAATGGAAGTCATGAATATTTAAATAACCAGTGTAGTTACAACATTTCCCCTGTAAGCAGATGTTGACTTGAAGATGTTAAAGCAAGAAAAGAGGTAGAATTGGTCTTGTTTTAATTGACATCAATCTAATACATGAGTTGGGTGCATTTAGTAGTTCTCATTAACATTTAATCAAGTAACTATTAGAGTCATGGTTTCTCCTGTAGGTGAATTAAAGCAACAACATACTTCATTTCACCATTCTCTCTTAACATTCAGAATTCCTGAACTGTGCTTACAAGCTGTGGGCTCTCCTGATGAAAATGAAAGCTATTATCATGAATGGAAAAGAGGTTTTTGTTGGTGTGTTTTTTGTTGGTGTTGTTTTACTTTTCTTACATCCTCCTCAACTGTGGTTTTGTTTTTTTGCTTATCTTCAATTAGCGTGGATCTTTTTAAATTTATTGAACATTTAATGAGCACATTCTAAGCAAATAAAGCCTACACTAGAAGCTATCTCCTGCAGAAAGTAAATATATATATACACACAAACCGTGTACTTTACCTATTTGAAATAATATGAAAACACTAGTGTTCTTTCTAGTTCAAATATATCATATTGAAAGATTCGGGTAAATGTTCCTCTGATAAATGTTTAGAAGTAGAATAAAATGTAGGTGAATATTATCAAAGCAATATATATAACCAGAATCAAATAACCAGGTCAAAAGTATATGATTTGCTGAAATCAAATATTACAGTTGGAAACCTCATGTCCAATGTATAATTTATTTGATACAAATAAAGTTATTTATCACAGTATGCTTTAGAATAATAAAAACTGCCAACAGTTTACACTACAAGCAATAAAACATTGGATAAATAAGTTACTGTGTATCAAAAAGATGGAATAACATATAGCCATCAAAATAATTCAACTAAGAATGTTTGGGAAGTAAAATATTAAGAAAGGCACCATATTATACTGAGCCTATGGTATGATACCAACTAGATAAAGTATACATAAAAGATGTCCAGGTTGCAGCCTGGCGTGTTAAGAGCTTGAAAATGATCATCCTCGTCCTCACCACACACAGGAAAGCTAAAACACTGAGAATCAGCAAGTTTTCTTAGATCCCTCAGTTAACAGAGATCACAATACAGACCACGGCCCCAAAAACTGGACATACAGACAAACAGAGAAAAGACACAAGACACAGCTTACAAGGAAAAGAAAACAACCCACCTTCAAGTCGATTCTGATCCATTACAACCCTAAACCCTATTTGAACCACCAACCTTGTGGCTCAAATCAATTTTGCAGTCCAGTGCATTAACACACAGTGCCACACCAGGACTCCTTTTTGTTGTTGTTGTTGTTAGGTGCCATCGAGTCGGTACCGACCCATAGCGACTTTATG